ATTCTGGGGAAGCCCTCAGCAGAAATCACAGCATCTGTTTCTCTGCAGCTTTGGCCAGTGTTAACGCAGGCGTCTCACGATTGTGAGAAGTGCCATCGATGCTCCAGATCTGGCGAAAAAAGCACACTCCCCATGGATAGAGCCAAAGCCCCTCTCCAGTGTGGTGTCTTGCAGATCCTGCAACCCGTGCAGGCTCTTTGATCTGGACAGCTTAGTCCTGACAGCAGACGGTGGCTTCAGAAGGCTCCCAGCAGTGTAATTCTCGGTGGACTTGTCGCCCGATGCTTGGCCAGCGCTTGCATCCGAAGCAATTGGGCATTGATTATTAATTAATGCCTGACTGCAATAAGAGACTAGCATCCGATGTGCCTGAGCGAACAGGCCCGGAGAGGATCAGCCACTCTTTCCTATGGGCTCGGGTGCCCAGAGTCAGAACAAAGTCTGCACTCTTTGCAATTATGGAGGTAATGATGCCGGAACACAGTCTTGCTTGTACTGAAAGCCGTTGGTTTGGGGACTGAGGAGCTTGGGTTTTGCGGGCTTCAGACGCGAGAAAATTGAGCTTCGACGTGCGGACTTGTCCCAGACGTATCTTGACTACCTGACTGTCTTTCACTACGATTCGCCTCCCGAGGTAACTTCTCTTTGAAGTGGCGCTGGGATCCATCAGCTTCCAAGCTCATTATTGACTTCTGGAAAGGCCCGGCCTGCCTTCTTCCTGTCTATAGAGTCTAGAGATCATGGAAGCGCATGCGATAAGCAGCTCCTATCGCGACTCCGTGTGTCAGACATGAAGTTGCTCGAGTGGCGTTGGGACGAGCTGGTTCCCAGCAAGGCCTGCGGCAGAAGAGCAGAAGAGGAGAGCTCGTGAATTTGGTGATGTGTCTTCGCTTGGCGAGGATCTGCGATTCCCCAGCCTGGTGGCCGACTGGTCTGGAACAGGGCATGTTGGAGGCGAGGAGATAAACATGTCTTGGGATCGGCAGACCTTAAGATGAGAGGCAGCTCCTTCAGCTACTCCATGCTCAGCCTTGTGGCCGAGAACTTTCAGCAAGCTGAACAGGCAGCCCAGGCTTGATGTCTGCATACACTGACAATCCGACTTGATCGCAGGCAGGGAAGCCTCGGCTCCTGGACTCCGGCGAAGGCCGGCGGGCTTTGGACACTCTGCCTGCCTTCCTTTGCCGGGTCCGTTTGATTGAAGGAGCTTTGAGTGATGGCGTGGACAGCAAAGTACTCGTACCAGCTCTTGAGGGCTGAGCCAAGAGGGCCTCCCGTTGTAGCTGTAGGGTTTTATGCAGGCTATCGACTTTCTCAGAGCAGGACCACGGACGTCCATCTCGTGTACATACATCTATTGTTGGGCTGTCCGGAAAGTCGATGGCCCCGGATACAGAAAATGATGCATCAGGCGGCATTTCCCGAAGCTGTAACACCACAGATTCCCGGAATTGAACCGCTTCTCCCAATGCCTGGGCCTCGCAGCCGGAGCTTCGGCTCCGTTTTTGCTGGGAGCTTTTCTCTCCCGAGTTTTCTGCTGCAGGTTTCTTGCAGCACACAGAGGCGGGTCGCCAGCCTCCTGCCCTTGTACAGGCGACATGGTACAGTTTGCATGGCGTTTTCCACCAGCGCACGGTCAGAGTGCCACTTTCGAACGGAAGTGGCAATCTCCATGACTGCATCGCAAAAGTGTTGAGCCTGTGAGCAGCTTGGTGGCTTTTGATTCGGAACATCTCGAGCTCACATGTGCTGACTGGTAACAAGAGGAGGGCACATCGACTGGCCTATGGCCCACCCGCCACCGAAAAGGATGCATAATCATTTCAATGTCTTTCACTTGTTGGGTAGGCGGAGTGCGGAGTCCTTGACCAACGCAGCGAATCCCACGCAATCTCTGCTCAGAGCCGATCCTTTCTGCATCTTCTGCCACTGTCGAGTCGACAGGGGTGAAGCAAATTGCCGTGGAACACACATCTACATCCGTGCGTCTAGCGAGAGAGGGCAGCAAGATCAGCAAATTGGATCTCAGCTTCGTGCCACCTGTGTGATAGCCGGGAATGCACCAAAGGAAGATGAAGGCCTGCCGCCTGTGAGACATGTAGCAAGAGATCTACACGAGGTTGGAGGCAAAAACCCCTCGAAGGCAGCGAAGGGCTTGTGGTATGGAGACATGTATGGCTGCCGTTTTGTCAGGAGCGGGATGTGGCAGCTCAGCCCAAGACTGGGCTCTTGCGTGAGGCAGACCGCGTGCCATCCCGAGTCGACAGGAGCTACTGATGCCTGTGAGGTCCTTGCTCCACTTGGCGCGCTGGCGGCGTCCGCGCCCTGCATGGCGCACTTAGAAAGGGTAGACTGTCCGCGCAGAGTGAGTCCAGAGGCGCTACGGCCTGCCGCCAAAAGAGGCCATGGACTTCTACAAGGCGCGAAACCAAGGCCCAAGGCCGACGTCCCGATGTCAAAGCTTCCGAGGACAAGCCTGGCTTGCGCTTGAGCGACCTCTTGGACGTCCCTTCCCAGCCATTCCATGGCCGTGGCGATGGTGCAGCAGATGCAGAAGGAAATCAGGCTCTCTTTGGTGCCATGCAGGTCTGTGCTCTTGACCAGCTCGGCTTACGCTGCAGGCCGAGATTGATCCTCGCTTCGTGGCGCCGCCAGTCGGAAGCTGAGTGCAAAGGCCAGAGATGCCATACAGGTGCGACGAAAGGGCACAAGCGAGGCGGCAGTTTCGGCGATTTTGCGGGTTTCCTGCTGAGGTGGGGGCGCGTGGCGGAGCCCCGATCGAGGCCGAGCCTCACGATAGGGTCTGTAGAGCGACAGCCCCCCGAGGTAGCCCTGTGTAGGACCCCACAACATCCGACACAAAACCTAGGGAGTGACCTCGGTCCTGAGAGGAGCTGTTGCCCGAGCTGCCATGGCCTCGAACATGTTCGTGCGATTTCTTGCTGCGAAGGCTCATGACATGTTCTGGAGTTGCTTCGTGCGCCAAGGTGCGCACGCGCTAGCTTCCGAATTCCATCTCTGATTCAGGAGGACTTCGAAAAGGAGCGGGAGTGTGGCAAAAGACTCTTGAAATGCTCTGTCGAGCTGTCCAGGTAGTGGATGACGAGGTGGAGGGGACGCAGGCTCGATCTGCAATCTGCAGTGAGGCTGGTGAGGCTCATGCAGGAGGACTGCAAGGTTGCGGAGATCAGGTCAGGGAAGCTTGCGTTCGAAGGCACCATACCTGGCCATGCAGCTAGGTGCCTATGGAAATTGCCGCACACGATTCTTCTGAAGAAGGCAGCGTGAGGTGCCGGAACTGTTTTCGAGAGGTGACGCGCAAGTCCGTGCAGTGCTAGCGACAGGAGTGTTCTGGAGCGCAAAGCTAGCTTCTTTTGTGCCATCGCAGCAGCACGTCGAATTGCAGGGGCCAGCCTTTGACAGCTGCCAGGCCGGAACCGGAGAAGAAGCTTCCGGTGTCACCCAAACCTCGCAGGACCCTACTAGAGTTGTAGTTTGCGATTGGTTGCTGCGGGCTGCCGAGTGCATGTGAGGAGCATGCCAGAGAAGACGAAAAAGCTTTCGGGTAAGGAGAAACGCCAACAGGTGGGCTGTCATGGGCTCTGTGTCTGTGGGATCTATCGCAGCAATTGCGGAGTCCTTCTGTGTCCAGGTATCTCGGAAGATTGACCCGGAGGCGCCTTCGAAAGTCGGAACTGGCAGGTGCTGCTGTAAGTCGATCTTGCTAAGGGCTTGGTAGGCAGCGGCAACATCACGCTGTAAACTCTGGAGGGGCATGGTGCCAAAGCAGATGGCTGTCAAGAAGAAAGTGTCTGCGACACCGAAGTCTGAGTGCAGGAGCCCGGTTTTTCAATTTGTAATTCCAAACGACATCGCGAAGGTTCCTCCGAGGATTGTGTACAAGAGCGCTACTTTAACCAGCCTTAATGTCGAGTTGTGCTAACCGAGAAGAACGCGACTGGCGCATGCTCCAGGAAGACACCACGAGTAGACCAGCGCAAGTGCTCCGACAAGCAGAAACGACAGCATGGGAAGGTGTGCCGGGCCGTGCTTTTGTTTGAAATCTATGCCACCAGAATGTTTCAGCTGCAGGTCGACGTTGATCTGGGCTGTGGGACTCCGCCGCAGGAAACCCTGCGCCATGTGACAGTGGTCTGCTTTTCCTTCCATCCGCTCTGACGCACCTCGGAAGGACGAAGCAAGGTATTGTCAGTTCAACATGCCGAAACAGGTCGGCAAGAATATCTCGGAGAGACCCTTCCATTGCTTGTGTACCCGCACAGTCTTCCCTCAAAGCTGTGGGCGAAGTCTTCGGCAGGTCGGCGCAGTCTCGGCAGAGCAGGTGGGAATGCCGTCGGAGCTCACGATGTTCATGCAGGCGAGGACCTGACAGCATAGGGTAAAGCCGGGTCCGCGTACTCAAAAGCATCGGACAGGCAGTGGCCATGTCGAGAAGCCTTCGTGCCTGAGCCGCCGAGAAGTGTGTCTTCTTCTTCCCCTTGCATTGCTGAATGCTCCCTGACAGTTCGGTGATCGCAGAACTGTAGTTGAAATGACTGGCGTTGGTTGCTGCCTACACATGAAAGGATTGCAGTGACAGAGCCACAGAGCACCTTTCGATTGCATGGTTGAATTCGTGTTATCTGCCATGCGTCAGGGACCCAGGAGCGGCGAACCCCACTGCCTTCGTGAATGAGAGTTCGTATCAACATTTCCGGATGCATATTTCTGGGTTCCTCATCTCCGGCAGAGCATGATGGATCGGAGATGACAAGCATCTCCGTCAAGTGGAGGGAGTCGTGTGTCACTGAGTGACAGAAGTTCCAGATGCGAGACGCACTAGAGGAGTGCGAGAAGCCCAGGATCTTGGGGAGTCGGCGACAGACCTGTGAGCTGGTGCGGGGAAACTGAAAGCACATTGGGCTCTCCTTTCGATGCGACTGCCCCGTGGTAGGTGCGCTATGACATCTAAGCCCATATCGCTCCCGGCCACCTCGCAGGTAGACTTCATCGAGATCCAAAGTAAGTTCCGCCAAGGCAAGGAAGCACAGCCGATGCCGGGCACTAAGTATAATTACGCACATCCCCAGAATATCTTCCCATGAGGTAAACTCGCACATGAGCAAGGACTTAGAGAACACTGAGTAGAACACAAGCAGCTGGTGTATGCAGGGCGTATGCAGTGAACTGCGCGTTGTGTGTAAGCACATAATACCGGATAGATCATTATGACTTCGAAGTACGCTCAGGCAACATCCGGCTCAACAAGAGGATGGAGCTTTGCTGCACTGTCTGAAGGCACTGTCGTGAATCTCTGAGCTCTACCCCGAATTCGGATTGTACATGCAGGACAAGCCTGAAGTAGCGTCAGGGGACAAGTGAACCCCTCTAAGTCTCCTTGAAAACTGCAGGCCCGCATCCCGAGTGCAGGTTCTGGACATACTGAGCGATGCACAGTCACCGCATGACCCAGGCCTTTGAAGGGTGCAGCCAGGGAACGGAGCGGTGCAGTAAACTTGGGAATCTGCCTTGTTCTGGCCTTCCGGAGACTGAGAGGACTGGTGTTGCTGATGCATGTGCCTTTCCCAGAGTTTCAGTTCTGATTCTTGCACCTGGCGCAAGGGGCCCCCGCTGCCTTGACATCTCAGCTGCGACTGCCGGTGGAGAGTGAGTAGATGCTCTCGAAGCACGGGTTTGGCCTTCAACAGCATTGCAAGCCCCATGCCAAAGACTCGTCCTGGTTTCCGCATGTTTCTGCGCAGAGCACCAATAGTGCCTCTGACAGGTTCACATGCCAGTCCACCCAGCCGTCACGAATGAGTCTTGCATGTCTTGAATGCACCGCCGCAGCGAGCCTTTCAGGGTAAGTAGAGATTGAGCCAACCTAGCAGCAACTGCTTTGACCAATCAATATTATTGGCAAGGCCGCAAGCTGAAAGCAAAAGAGCCAAAATGGTGAATCCGACAATATCTAGTACTACACCAGCAAAATCCCGAAACGGGTGCCCCACACCTTCGATGGGATGGACTTGCCATGGCAACCATTGAACGATGAGGATTGCCGCCCTGCTGAGCACAAGGGTCTTGGGTAGAGTGTAATGTGAGATAGTGTGAACTTCAGCTTCCAGTTCTCGCAAGTCTGAGCCCCTTCCACAGGAGCGTGATGCGCCTCCTTGGATTCATCACTCGCGGCTGCAAACGCAGCAGGTGCCCCCTCGTCGCATGGTCGTTGTTTTACGAATGGACGTGAAGGTTCCGACTCCACGCGTCAATCTCGCAGGGCTTCACTGTGCTCTTCTGGAAGTGATCGTACCAGGAGCTTTGCGCAAAGCGCTTCTTGCGCGTGGCCTCTACACCAGCGACACATGCGACTCTGTCCCTTTGGGCATTGGTGCTGCGCTGAGACTCCGGAGAAAGCTAACGGCCCCCGATTCCGACAGTGAAGCTGACTGCTGTGTTTGAGACACGGCATTGAGTGCAAGAAGCCTTCTCTGGGATCCTTTTGCCATTCAGGCCTTGTGGAGGTCTGGTGCTGCCCTTAACATGGAAGAGTCCTTGATTCTGAGACCCGGACCCGGACACCGAGGCATCCACCCGGCCCTGGCCTGGGCTCCTCTCATTTACCTCTCTGGGCCTGTGCTGCCCCGGCCTTAGAGGCTCCTCTTCTCGACGGGGAGGACGTGCTCCCTGTGGCCTGCCAGGATGAAGCACGGTGTGCTCCGGAAACTGCATGTTGAGCACCTGTCCGTTGTCATCCTGGCCCATCCCTGAGATCTCAGGGTTACGTCTACTAGCTCGTCTTGGGTCGATGATCTGTGCAGATGGCTCCCGTGTCAACGTATGATTCGGTATGATACAGTAACTTGTCGCTGAGCATTTGCGGAAGTTCCCGGGCACCTTCAACCCCTAGGCCCTAGGCCCCAAAGCTCAAAACACAGAAGCCCAAACCCCCACCCCCCCAGCTGCCAGGCCGCCGAAGCTAAACTGTCTCTTTGTAGACCAAAATACACGCCCAAATAAGACTAGAGTTCTGCCGTTGCCAAGAAAGGTAAATCTCAGAAAGCCCTAACCCCAAGAGCTCCCAACTCCCTAAAACCCTAAACCATAAATTCCAAGGTCCAGAAGCCTAAGTCCCGAGCCGAGAATCAAAAGCTCGGCGCGACAGCCGTGCACAGCAGTATTACGGTCTGTTGCACCCACAAAAGCTGGCGGTGAGCCTCGCCCACCGGCCACGTTAAGACACTTGGGTGCTCCATGAACGAACCGCAAAAGCTCAATTGTGAATTGACCTGCTTTACGATCGAGAGCGCTCGCTGAAACGAGATCTGTTTCTCACACACAAACTGTATCCAAAATGGAACCCCCCAAAATTGACAGTAAAGTACTAGTTCAGATTTCAATGGACATGTGCATGCGTGGGTCGGATTCGTGGGTCACCTTATTGGCGACCCTCCCACCGAAGCTTTGACGTGCTTCCACGTCCACAATACAGTGTCTGTAGTCGTTGCCGAAGATACGCGGACTGAGCAGCATACAGAAAACCGCTGCTCGAGACGTTACGATCGTGAAATCAAAAGTTGGTTTTGTGGCAGTGGTCCCTGCCCGTGAGTAGAGCAAGAACACCACGCTCAGATCAGCAAGAATGAGGCCACCTCGAGTGCGGCGCATATACCTTGCATATGTGCCAGGGATGAGCTTGCCGCCAGATAAAGCAGAACAAGCCCCAAGCAGAGCCAACACGCAATACATGTAATTAATTGTGTTTTCACGTGGCTTGACACATGTCTTCGCTGAGGCCCTGAACATAGTTAATGCATCGCACATTGCGGCCCTCCTCGTTTTCGAGGCAGGGTCGTCTCTGCTCTCAGCGAGGCTCCATAGCATCCTGCGTCTAGGGATCGCTGCTGCTTTCTTCCCCGCTCTACGCGAGCCTTGTTTTGTCATTGCCTGAGCAGCAGTTTGTTCAACCCCAGGCTTTACTCGTACCCTGGAGTGTACAACTCCTAAGGAGCCGAGTGTTGCTGGGGCTCTTCACGCAGGAGGCGACGCGAATCCCTTGGCCCCTTTCTTTGCATCCCTTCCCAGAGCAGCAGGGTTGTCAGCAGCCAGGTCCACCTTCACGTCCTCCTCAGCTCTGCAGTGACCGTCCTGGCTTTCTGCTGTTGCCTAATGGAGGTCCGGTGTGGCTCTGAAACCTGGAGTGTAGTGAAGTCTCAAAAGCAGAGATACCGGAGCCATGCCACTGCATTTCTGGTCTGTCCCGCATGGCAGTGATTATCTGCGAGCGATGCAGTTTTCGAGCCTGCTGGCCGTGACCAGCTGCTTACTGCTGGAACTCACGGCCTGGAAGCCCAGCTACTGTTGGCACTCATAGAGCGCTTCTCTGCACCTTTCCTCCCGCGTTCCTCCCACCCTTCTCCGCTGACGTGCGGCGCTGGGCTGAGGCAGTTGTGATTCTTTCGGGCGGGCCCTGCAGCTACGAGGAGGTTGGGGGCCTGCACTCGCGAGCCTTTGGGGGCTCCTTTTTGACTCCTCTTGCAGGCCATCGTCCACCTGGCGCAGTGCCGGCTGCAGCATCAGCTGACGCGCTCGCAGGCTTCCTCCAGATGTGCACACCAGCCTTACGTCTTGCGTGCTCATGGCATCTAGATTTTGATGGAGTTGGTGGTGCTGCTGGAACAGCTGCTGCTGGTTATCTGATGCTCGTGTTCTTTCTCCGAACTGCTGTGCCGATATCAGCTTGCAATCGGACAGTCTTCGCAAAGCAGACCCAAATGACTTGGACTGCATCATTTTGTCACCAGCCTTGTATGAAAAGCTGTTGTAGCTCTTCTCATGTTTCTCGTCCTGTTGAGGCTTCGCAGCGCCTGGACGTTGCCAGGGAGGAGCTGAGCGGCTTGGGACTCCCAGTTGTCCGCACATTTTCGCCGCTGTCAAAGGCACCGCTGCATGATACCTTCGTGTATACAGGCCCAGTCCAGAAGAGTTTACCATCTACAAATGCGGATATGCGTAGGTATATTTATGTATGTACACATTGTATGGTATATCTAAAATATGTACATATATAGTTATATATAGATATGGTTGTGTATATGTGTATACGTGTGTGTCGTTGTGTGTGTGTGTGTGTTCTACGGTGTGTTGTGATTATCATTACGCTTCTGCCCATTCTTGGTCTCATTCTTATGCTGTTTATTAATGCTTAAGGCTTTACCCATATTCTATTTGTATTCTTGTTGTTGTTCTTATTCTGATGTTATGCACATATGTATGTATGTATGTATGTATGTATGTATGTATGTATGTATGTATGTATGTATGTATGTATGTATATATATATATGTGTGTATATGTATATGTATATGTATATGTATATGTATATGT